CTGGGGAAGGGGGGGGTGGTAGGGGGGCAGCCACGTCCCCAGGGACTCCCATGTCCCCTTAGACACCCACCTCCCAAAGGACTCCTGCTGGCTATAGCATGAACAGGGAACCCACTGGCACAGGCACCCCGATGGGCAGAGGGGACCCCATCACAGCTGTCGTGGGTGTCCTGGTCCCTGCTATTGGCATGGCCACCGCAGGGCTCCCAGTCCAGTGTGGGGGTTCTCCCAGCCTGGCTGAGCACCAGGTACCCTCAGCCCACAACCCCCATGTGACACTATCCCTCCAGTCACACCAGTGCGTGGTGCCCCCAGTCCAGCCCGGTATACCCAGTCTGCATCACTCCCACTCCAGCCAGCATGGGGTGCTGCAAGCACAGCAGCCCAGTTCAGCCCAGTAACCCCATCCCAGTTCAGCCCAGTATGGCCATGTCTCAGCCCAGTGCCTGACACCCCTGCCCACCAGTCACTGCCCCATCCTGCACAGGGCACTCCTGCCCCCACCCTAGCCAGCCCTGGGGTGCCCCATCCTAGCACAGCTCCCGCTGTTCCCAGTTGGAACCTGGGAGATGGTGGTGCCAGGCCCTGTGAGTCCCTGTCCTGCCCCTGTGCAGCTGAGCCACGTGCATGGGCACCAGCCCCACACATGCGCACACGCCAGGGGACGTGGCTGGGCAGACAGGTCCTGCCTGCACACGTGTGTGCAACAGCACACGGGCACCCCATGATGGCCCATGACCCACCCCCCTGTGTCCTGGGGCAGGATCTGGCCCTGGTTATCCACTGGCACAGGCTGTGTCCTTTTCCCAAAAGCCACCAGGGCCTGACCGTCCCCCCTGGCACCCTGCCCGGGACACACAGCTCCCCGGGGGGGGTGGCATGCCCGCCATGCCTCAGTTTCCCCAGTGACACCCAGTGTCACTGAGCGAGCAGGGGCAGAGCCATCTCTGGCTGCCTGTGCCCACCATGACTGGTAGTGCTGCCACTCCCTTTGTTGGGACTGCTGGCACCACCGTGTCCTCTCGGGTGTCACCATTTGTTCCTGGGCCCTGGCCAGTGCCAGACAAGGAGCCACCAGCCCCACACTCCCCCCATCCCATGTTGATGGGGACGGATTCACGGGGCCAGGGGATGTGGTGTCACCCCGTGCTGTGGTGTGCATGGGGGGGACCCAAGCCCTGGCCATGAGGCAGCTGCAAGCCCCTTGGCCACCCCTCAGGGCTACACGTCACAGCCCCCCTGGCTCAGTGAAATCAAGACCTGCCCTCGCCCACGGGATCATGCTGCATCACCCTGTTCTCCCCACCTACCTGGGAGTGTCAGGGAATATAGGGGTCTGTGGGGGACCCCTGCTGCCAGCAGGGTGTCTGTGCCAGCATGTCAACAGCCGGGGACACCCAACCTGCCTGGATGAAATAGAATCTGACCCGAGCTCCTGTGAGCTTCCCAGTCCCGGAAGGCAGGCAGTGGTGTGAGTCAGCAGTCAGGACCCAATCCTCTGAGCCTGGGAAATGCCACCAGCCCTGAGTGTTGTGCCTCAGTTTCCCCCTTTTGACTGTCAAAGCTCTGCGAGCAGCTCTGAGCCTCCCTCCTCGGTGTAGCAAAACCAGCTTGGTGCTCCCAGCAGGTCGGTGGGACACCCGGGTGAGTGAAGGGCAGGGAAGCAGCACCCTCTTGGCACACAGTGAAGCTGCTGGGGTTTGCCCCCTCCCCAGCTGGCCTCAGCCACCCCCTGGCAAGGGGCTGGGACCACAGCCCATGGCAAACTGGCCTTGCCAGACTGCTCCCAGCTCCAGCCCCTGGAGCTGTGTTGGGAACAGACTGTCTCCTCCCTGCCCACATTGCTCACCTGCAGGATGTGGCCTTAGCCCCCACCCCCCCGGCCTCCCTCTTGGGACGCCCAGAGCCAGGATCACCCTCAGGGACCACTTGGCTCCTCCCCTCTCTGTCTCTGCCCCCTGGGCAGTTTGGATCTGTCCCAGCTTGGGGAGAGGAGCCCTGAGGGCAGGGTGGGGCCATGGGGCCAGCAGTTTGGAGGGTGGGGAGCACTGGGCTCCTTTCCGCACCATCTGCAAGGGAAGCTTGTTCCTGAGCCTGAGAAGCGGATGGACAAACAATGGAGGATGGGAAAGATGGAACACATGTCCCCCCCAGGGACGCAGCTGCGGTGGTGACATGTCCGGGCTCTGCCCCACGAGCACCCACCTCTCTCACGGACGAAGTAAGCCAGGTAGAGGTCGAGCTCCTTGACAGAGACGCTGATGTGGTGGGGCTGGACACAGAGGATGGGGTTGGTGCACTGGCCCGCCTTGACCAGGCGCTCACCGTCGGTGCTCTCCAGAGGGATCCCTTTGAAGAGGATGACCATCACCAGGTCCAGCCGCCACACCTTGTCCGCCTGCCGCAGGCAGTCGATGCGACGCATCTTCCCCTTCTGGTCGGGGTTGGAGAGGACACAGCACGAGGGCTTCTTGCCCGTGATGGAGAGCACAAAGTCCTCGCGGCACTCGGGCCGGATGTCCTTGCGCAGCTTGGCCAGGAGGCGCGAGGCCCATTTCTGCTTCACCTCTGGCTTCTCACTCAGCAGCTCGTCCTTCACTGCCCTCTCCTCATCCTTTGTCATCTTCTTCTCATGCTTCTTGAAGTACTTGCGCTTGCGGGCCTGCAGGTTGAACCAGGTGTAGGCAAAAGCCCGGACGTGGGGGAGCAGCGCCTCAATGAAGGGGTGGAATTCATCCTGTGGGAGCAGAGGGACAGGGGGTCACGACCCAGCTGAGACCTCCCCAAACCCACCCCAGAATGGCTGGGAACCCTGCAGGGACCCACCTGGGACACCCTGCCCGGCTGCATCCCAGTGTGACCTGGAGGAAGAGCTGTAGCACAGGCCCAGCAATGGTGAACCCTTCCCCAAGGAGCAGGATCCATCTTGTCCAGGCAGTCTCCCAAAAATCCCACCGGCTGCAACGGCCCCAGGCCAATACCCTGATGGAGCTGGTGGTACCACTGAGAGGCACAGGCTTGTGCAAATTGCCCACCTTGGCAGCACCTGGACCCTCTCCCCTTCCCAACCGCACAAGCCGGTATCCACTCCCAAAGGGTGCAGAAATCCCACCCAACACAGTGCCTGCTGGAGCTGCTGTGCTGCTGGACCACAGCACCCAAGGGCCACGAGTGCCTTGGAACTCTCTGATCCCTCCAGATCAGC